CTACTTTTGTGGAAAGTATCTAGTAGATTGACTGGATTACGCCGCCCACTTCAAAAGACAGAGACACGTCGGTCTCGTCACTAGTACACATACCCAAATAGGAAACAGCATTCTGTATCACATAGAATGTTCGTGACTTCGTTTAAGATGTCACATACGCATGTGGGAAAAACCTTTCTGTAATCCTCTATTGCACAAATTCCAACGATGAAGGTACATAGATGATAATGGCTAACTGTAGCCCATTAAATCATTAAGGTCAAAAGTACCTCTAAAGTTGTGCTGACGTTTTGGAGCAGCTTACGGTTTGTTATGCAATGAAGCGATCAAGTAAACAAGTCAACAAAAAGGATCGCTCATCGCTTAAACGACAAAGAACAGATCCAGAGCTTTTTGACGTTTCCCCCAGTATTAACCGAGATGGGGCTAAGAAGTTCTGCATGAAACGTTTTTTTGTTGGTGTCAGATCATGAATCATGATGATTTGACCCAGCTCATCGTAGCAAAGTTAGACTTTTGGAGGATGTTTGCTCGCCTTGAGTACAAAGCAAGATGGAGTGTCTGATTCACCGGATCAAAGCTGACAGGACTCCCAGTCACGACCGAGCAGAACCAAGTTTTGGTCCTCGTGGTGTTTTCCTTCTAGGTATTTTCGTAGTTGCTAATCACGTCTAGGACAAATAGCCCTAGAGTCTGACGAGGTTCCCATGTGTCTGAGTCCGAAAGATAACCGCGGCGCCGAACTCATTAGAAGCGTTGACTGTTCAACTGCATCTTTCCACGATGACGAGTCGATCGATGTCTCAACCATACGACTTTCTCAACGAGAGTCTGATAGCAGAGTTGAAGTTGAATGTGAGGAGAAAGCGCTCATCTCAGGCAAATCGAGGTAATCCAACAGCGTTGCTCGACGCATAAATATTCCTGTGAGAGCCTTTGAATCTTGTTGGGAATTACAAGTCGAAGTGGCGCTCTTACTGATGATTCCACTCACTGCCCGGCTTTGGAGTTTCGAAGTTCATGATGAATTTGTCCTAGTCCGCAAAGGCGAGAAGCCTCATGAGCTGGCTCATGAGCACTTGTCGCGCTCTGTTGGAAAGGCAAGCTGTGTTTTCGAGGAACTCCGTGGTATGTTCTATTCTCGCCTTCAATCGCATTGATCAGTCAAGGGAGAAACCTTTGATATCCTTTAGCGCTTGTACACCGCGAAAGATCTCCAGGGTAAAGAGTTGATTGCTCGTTGCGGTCAGGTGAGAAACTTCATGATCGGCTCGATCATTCACCAAAGGATAATACAATTGGCAGATCCGATCGGAAGGAACGACTTTAAACTACTAACGTAAAATGTGGGAAGTAGGCGCATGCGCTCAAGGATGGCTAGGTTTAAGCATCACCATTGCATTTAAACTTCGTTAACGGCCCAATACACCTTGGCAAAAAGCTTTCTGATTTCCAAGTTGGACACTGCGCTTTCAGGCACATTTATCGTGCTAAGTAATACAAGATTATTGACTCTATACACTTATTTGTTCATCCTCTGCTAGTCTTTTTGCGGATCCTGAGCTTTTGCAATGATGTCTCGAGCTTCCGCACAATAGCTTGTCTCCGTACATTAAAGCCATCGACGTGCTGTTCCTCAGGACTTGTCATTTTGTAGAGGTCTCATTGAGTCAAAATTCATTTACGCCATTTTTATGAATGGCTTGCGACACCCGCTGTGTAATGTTCAGCAGGGCTGCCACAGCCCTTTGCTTATGGGTAGCTAAGCTAACGTCCTCGACCTTACGTTCTTTACTAGAATCAGTAAGAGTATAGCGGGTCGCGATCCGCTATACCCAAAACCATAAACCAAGGCAAATGTACTCTTCTGTTCAAAATGTAAACTGTATTTCTTTGTTTGGTTTGCGACAGACCCGCCTATACTTAAATCCATAGGTTTTTCTAATCAAATAGTAAAACCGAATTAAAATGCACAACTTTTGGTAATACCGCCACGTAGTGGCTTCTTGTTAGGATGTGGCCATGGTCACACTAACTTGTGTAACCCACCCCTTTATACCAAGGTACGTGTAACCCCGTTACACAGTAGGTAGTGTCTCCGGCGGGAGTGAGGGAGGAGCTCGGCGAATTGTAGCCTCTCAAATTGAAATAATCAGTAATAGGAATGTGAAGCGCAAATACAAGGATGCACCGGACTCCATCATGTTTAGGTTTGACTGTGGCTTCGTAGCCATCGCTCCTCCCGCACTTAAAGATGAACAGCATAGCTCAAATTTAATGGCGAATGGCCTGTCAAGACATGCGTGTAGTTATTCAAAGCAGATTCTGCGAGAGAGTGGAAATTCACTCTAATCTTTAAACGACATACTGTAACTACGCACTATATCATCCAGGACTCGATTCACATGACAGTCCATTTCAGAGTTTGTCGCTGTTGACGTGGACAATTTAATGCCTAATGAAACATCAAAACCTTAACGCAAATTGGGTGTCACAGTCAGGCACAATATGCTACCTCACCATGATGCTCAGCGGAACCCCGATGGCCACGGACCTTAACCATAAATGCACGAAGAGCATCGCGAGTCACCGGACGGGGATCGACCAAGTTGTCATTGTCAGCCGCCGACTCTTCTTGACGAAAACAGTGGCGTCCACTATCACGTGGAACGTCTTGTGTGTCGACGGCTTCAAAAGAGTCAAACCTGGTATCTTGCGCGGTGGCGGGGATACCCAGACTCCGAGGACTTGTGGTAGTTCGAGGTGTCTCTTCGGCAAGACTGCCCAGACGTTGTGGTCGATTACGTTCAAAGGGATCATGACGGTCCACGTGTTCTTGCGCCCCGCGCTTCTCGGTGGCAGCCCGGGAGGCCCAAATCCATGGGCTGAGCTCAATCTATGCTCCTGAGCAGTTATGGTCGCAGACTCACCTGTGTGAGAGACCACAGAGCTTGCGGGAGCGTGATAGATTGATCCATATGCTGCAGGGCGACAGTTTGAAGAAAGTCGGCGTTGCTTCTTGGTTTTCGCAAACTCAAACTAAAGATGGCGTTATACACAGACGTCCACCTCCTTGTAGCTTCGCTGTATGATGGACAGCGAGGAAAATTTTCGATGCCACTGCTCCCATAGCTAAATGAGATATTTGTCATCTGCAGCAGTTTCACCAGGGGCGAACACCACAAGAATCATCCGCATTGCGGGTAATGGAGTGCCCCCTCTTTGAGCGCGAAGTCAAGCGAGATTCAATTTCATTAAGAGCTCTTGAGGTACCCAGAAACGAGCTCGAAGAGCTTTTCATTGGTCAAGTTTGGCTTGTGTAGTGGCTGGGGCCCGACTGCGCAAACGCCCAACGATCGAAGGATTACGTCCTTCGCTTCAGTAGTGGGATCCGCCGAGCGGAGGCCGTATTCCACTCGAGGAAAAAGGACCGGCCGTGGATGCGCGCGCATAACTGCCCCGCGAACAGCCTCCAGTTGTTGCTCCTGTGCCTCGTCGATGCGATTGGTAATTATACCAGTTTTCCCGGAAGTCGACAGGTCGGAAATCGGATATGGTGTCCGCAAGGTTCGAGCAGGGCTCACTTCGCACCCCTGGTGCACCTCGCACTCCTCTTTTTCCCATCCTGGAAAAGGAGTATCTGACTCGTAGTCGACTTCCTTCGAAATCTCGACGAGGTAACCTGTCGCCCGTGGCGGGCGCGGTGCGTGGCTTTCGGTTGCCGAGGGCTTGGGTGTGCTTCCCTTTAAGCCACGGATGTTGTCAGTAGTTGCACTGCGTGCAGGAGACGAAGAAGGGCTATGCCTGCCGGCGCTCTCAGAACCGGCGAGACTGTTTTTTTTTCGTGTAATAGACACATGGCTCATTGAGTATAGAATGCGTTACCAAAGTCAGAGAAATATAACGGTGTCTTTGACGCGCGAGCCTCGTACGAGGCAGCACTTAACTGTGATTTGTGGGTATTCACGATTTTGATGGGGAGAGTGTAACGGGGTTTCACGTATCCTGGTATGAAGGATAGGGTCACACAAGATGGTGCGACAAAACAATGGTGTGTCTTCACCTTGTCAAGAAGCCACTACGTGGCGGGACTGGCGGTATTTATGTATTTTGATTAGATTTTACTATTTATCAGGAGAACCTATATATTAAGATATAGGCGGCTCTGCTGCAAATAAAAAAAAAGATATACAATTTATTTTTGATCGGATGAGTGTATTTGCATTGGGCAAAGAGTTTGGATATTCTTGGAGTAGTTGATTGCGATCTACTGCGCTTGTACTGGTTCTAGTATATATCGTAAGGTCGGTGACCTCAGCTTAGCTTTTTTAAGCAAGAGCTACGGCAGCCCCGCTGCAGGTTTGGTATATCTCTGAGCCCCTGAATACAACCACAATCGGTATACGGCCTTGATAGAAAGAGGTTTCTATACGATTCGACTTGCCAATATTACCTCGTATACACATTATAATGATATCACAGCTTATATCTTTTGTCATCAAGAGTCATGCTTTTGTCATCTGCCGAGTGAGCGACTTGATGGCTGAGAAACAGGATGTAGCAATAAAACATGCCGGTGTTCGAGAGTGGCAGCCACTCGGAAACATGTATTAACCCGACTAATATTATTAAAACTTTGCTGGCGTCCCATCCATGTAGTGTCTACGGTCAACGCGACAAAGTTGCGGCCCTGCTACATCAGAATGCGCGCAAAGTAGCAAAATGAGATTGAGCTACATACCATTTTTTTCAAAGGAAATGCAATCGCAATCAGTCTTCAACGCTGAATATTAAAACCGTTTCTCGATTCCCTTTAACCACCCAATCAATTGTGGAGAGCTAGATTAATAATAGAACAGCATATCCATCATCCGCTGTCCCTGCAGCAGAGCTTCCGATTAGCATTAAAATGCAAAACCGCTGAGCACGACTCTAGCAACGTAGTGAAATGGGGTAGCACTTAGTGATCACCCAAAAAGACATATCTTTGTATCTGAAACATGCGGAGTCGTTCAGCAATAGTCGATAAATCGCCGCAACCGAGAGAGATCACAATATCCAACCGCGGTTTGATTACCATTCGTCTCAGCACCACCACAGAAGAAGTGATGTCCATTTCTCACGGAAATTGGACTGTGTCGGTAAGTACATTCAGGCTGTTATTAGTGTCTCGTAAAGTGGAAATAATATTCTTTCTGGTAAACATATGGCATTGCAAAGACTCACTTTTCAGAATGTGCATTGATACCGATGCCGCTTAAGACCTGGCGCTATCCTACACGAAGCCAAGCAGTAAACGACGTTCTGTCAGAAAACCACTTCACCGAAGCTGGTTTGTATAGCCTTGAGACAGGTTAAATGGCGCGTTTTTTTACTCAGTGCATAAATTAGGTATAATAGTCATGGAGAGTTTAGTACCCAGACTAATTAAGGTTACGAAAATTTCCAGTCGCTGCTGATCTAATTGCAAGCAGAGCTCATATGAAAGGATTATTCTAGGCTTAGAAATCGATAGAGAAGCGGCCTTTCGTGTTAGCGTCGGCGAGAGCAGAGCACTGGCACGGATAAGCGTGTAAGAGCGCCGCCCCAGCGTATCAAACTACATTTAATTATTTTAAAGCATAGTTACGATGTTATAATTTAAGCACGACTCGGCACAATTTTTGTCTTGTTGACAAGCCGCTGAGGAAGTTGAGATTGCTACACTTATTAAAGAGGTGTTTGCCATCATAGAGGGCTCCACCGCCGAGGTGTCGCGGCAGAACCCGCCGTTAGAAAATAGAACGGAGTTGTTAAGGCTAGCAGTGATGAGCTCCTGCCCTCGATGGCAGGCTGGGTCGCATATTTTCAGGTGAGAGATGTTGTACAGCTCTCACCGAAGAACCCATCGTCATACTCACCAAAGTTTGATAAGAGCTTTGGCTACGAGGACCACGCGTTTACTGAGGCTTGCTTGGCGATTTTATGTATTCACAGCAGAAATTCTGATGCGCGTATTCTTCGAAGAGCAGCCACAGTAGACAGAAAAATGTGCAGTGAAACTTATAGCGTCGTGGTCACTCTATGAGTGTTCATATTTGCGCATCACATAAGGACGACAAATGAATTGTAGGCCATATTGTGGCTCTCATCGTTGTGGGCGATGGTGCAACGGTGTAAGAACTATAATACTGTGTACCTGTACTGTACAATTGTGTAGAAGGCCATACTGTTTGGATGCACATATGTGTAGTTGTGAATGCCTATTAGAATTAACTTTGGTATTTGTGAGAATGATTGGACTTTGTGAAGAAAAAGTATGCAGTGTGTGTGATTTGCTGCGCTCCCATGTATTTTTATTCGCTAGATATCCCAGCCATTTCACAAAGATATCGCGAATGTTCCCCTCCGCCACCACATTCTCGAGGTGGTAGTATCAATTATCTTGTCGACAAGTCGAGGGAGGGTGCTCGAAGAGGGCGTCGCCTCTACTTTGTCCTGTGGCTAGTTCTCAGTTCTTGACCGACTTCGAATTTCGTTTGACGAATATCTTCTCGCTGATGAACCAGTGGCAGATTGGCGTGATCAGTCAGGTGTCGTACACGGGACAGCCCGTGAAAGATAATCGACAAGTCGATTGCGGGGTTCGCAATTTCGCATGGTGTCATGAAAACTCACCTGGGTATGCAATCGATAATTGGATCCATCGATTGGAGCAGACTCTGCAGCTCTCCCTACTGCTGAGGCTGCTTCCGCCGATGATATGGGGCCACCTGTCAAGAGACTTTGCTCTGTTTCGAATCGGGCTTACCGATTATTCGCTTCATTTTGAGGACGATACTAAGGCGAAGACGCCAAGGGGGGTTCCACCTTCGACTCTCGTGCCGACGCTGCGGCTTTAAAGCCGTCATCGTATGCTCTGTGTTACATTCAGATTAATAATCGCATCATCGCGATGGTAGAGCCTGCGGAGCCTTACGTAGAACATGGGATGTGTCCTTAGCCAGCTTGACAGGTCGATATTGTGAGTATTCCCATGGCATTTTTCTACTCGGAATGGACGATGAAGCGAGGTGATAGCTTCGAGCTTCCCAAGGTTGAGACCGCCTGGTACTAAGTAAAACATATTCCCTAGACGATCTCGTCTATCTGCTTATTCCTTATGTAAATGTTATGCGTTGGTCATTGTGTCTCGCACACGTGTGTTCAAATTCAGACGCTTCATAAAGAATGCGACAAGAACATTCTCTTACTTACGCTTCACATTCACATCATTGAAAATATCAATTTTAGAAACAACGATTGCCGAGCTTCCCCCTCACGAACATCAGAGACACCACCCATCGCACAAAGCGGTAATTGTGACTCCCGCAAGCCATTTATAAAAATGGCGTGGATTTAGTAGATGGATCGGCCGAATTGCTCATAGCAACCTCAATCAATGAAAAACAAACTCCATTCTGCAAATCTCTTTACACAAAAGCTTCTCAACACATCACCTACCCCACGGTTGGCTCGTTCTCTTTGCCCATCGGTCTCCAGATAAACTGCTGAGGACATATCCAGGCGAGTGCTAAGAATACGAAACATTTTTCTCCAAAGGCTTCTCGCGAATCGTGAATTACGATCAGAGATGATGGCGTCTGGTAAGCCGTGATTGCGAAAACCGTGATCAATAGACAGTTAAGCCAAACTTCCGGCATCCATGGAATCGCTACACGGAGCGATGCAAACCATCTTGCTGAGTCTTTAATCAGAAACGAGCAGCTATGTCTTACGATCAGCTTTCTAAGGAATGCTGACGATAAACTCGAGACCGAATGACACTAAACAATCAGTAGAAACCGGAAAACGCTACAGTGGCACTTGTAAAGCCGTGCGCGCTTCACGCGCTGACAGACATCGCATGTCTTTACGTATCGTGCCACTCACTTGTACATGTTGGACCACCGAAATTTGGCACCGAGAGACTGGTTGGTCTTCTCACGGCAAAAGAGACCGGCCATCGACATATCATGCGCCTCGTACACTATCTTGTACCTCAAATCATCGTCGTGGGAAGCCACAATCCGTGGGTCATCGTCGTGGGAAATCACAATCCGTGGCTTATCGTCGTGTGTAACTTCATATCTAAGGAGATTATCCTTCCATTTGTAACGATGCAATCTTGATTTCATGCGGCCAATACGCTTATCATGGAATTTCATTCCTTCGATGACAGTGTCTGATGATCAGACCACACTAGCCATCCTCAACTTACGATCAACGTATCATATCGAGTACATCGTTTTCAATTAAACTGATATGATCTAGCTCATAATCAGAACAACGTGACAATGCGTGGTCAATATCTTATAGAGGTATAGAAATTTTTACCCTTTGCAAAAACGCATGTTACAGGAGGACCAAGTTTGGAGGAGCGCATCCAATTGGCGAAGGATAGTGCTGTACTTTGTTGATAGCTATCATAACGACAAACGAAGCTGTTAGCAGCAGGAAGTGGATGAGATGAGATTTCACCTCGACTTCCCACTTCGCCAACTGGTAACAGCTCTACATGAGTAAGTTGGAACGTTATCCTTATCCGGTATTCAGATTGAGTGCGGCACTCTTTAGCACTCGGCAACTTTCAGTACGTGAGGTGCATCCTACATGAAGGGTACGAGGTATCTCAATTACTGCTTCTTTAATTGTAAGAATACTATTTTGTAAGCACCGGTGATACTTCGGAGGGGAGATGGCCAATGTGGATTGAAAGCTCTTACGGTAAAATCTTGTGATGTATGCGGAAGTTTCGCTCACAAATAAAGCAAAATGAGCGCAATGGAGCTGTTCCATGAGTCCTTTGAGACTCTACCGGTCATAACACCGTCTGCCCGACATGAGGAGTGTATCTTAGATATTGATAGTTGACAAGAGGCCTAAAGAGGTTTGTGCTTAATTTGCTCCTCACATGAGAAAACGCGTCTTCTCACTAGTTCAGAGCTTTGCAAGTCCGTCTTGCCGAAGCACACAGCCAATTAGAGTATTGTTCGATGCAAAACTTTAAAGATGAAACGGGCGCCGATGTGAAGTCCCGTCACCCTGCTGCTGAACAATTCTTTCATTTCTATGTTCGTTGCCGTCAAAGCTCTACAAACTTCAGGGGACCCTGTCCTAGAAGAAAATGGTCGAGATTGCTCATGGTCGTAATTATCAACGACGCCAAGGTAAAATTGAAAAAGTTGTGCGCCAAACTTATTGTTATTTTTCAAAATGAATGGTCCCGTCCATTTCGCTAGATACTGATAACAGCGCCGGCGTATTAGTCGGATGATTAAATAGAAAGTTACACAGTGCCGAAAAAAGCCAACTCCCCAGCAGCTGCCTCGCGAGTGCTCTCCCAGTTATGGTGGCACGTTGACTCTTCCCGATAGTCGTGACGTGCGTCCAAAATTGAGAACATCAAATTTCTAATGCATGCTGTAGGCTAATCCATCACGCTGCGTGGCTTGAGGCCCCCTCAGTGGCTAAACACTGTCTCGCTGCTTAAAGGAAGAGGCTAGCTCAGCTACAGAAGATAAAAAAAACGCTAATCTATTCACAACAGAGTGCTTCACATCCAACTAGATCGTAAGAGCGGGATCACAAAATAGCTTAATTAAGCCCACATACAACACAAGCCTAGCTCACTTTTTCTGGGTGTGTTGTGTTTCACTCAACTCGTTATTAGCTACGACCGTGAACATACGATGTAACGTGGTCGCAACTTCGCCTAGTGAATTGGAGACAGGAAGTTTGAGCGCTTTTAAATTCTATATTCCTACTACGCATTTATGACTGATTCAGCTGCTTCTGGTATTTACTTGTCGTACTTGTTCATCTTAACTTTTTGCAACAACGTTAGACACCCGGCACGTGATGCTTAATCTCTTTGAGATGAAATCCGTGACTTTTCCACGACGTGTCGCCGGGCTGTTTAACAAAGTTGAAGTGTAACGATAGTCTCACCGCCACAAAGATCGAAACCACGTTCATGTGGTGTCAAAATAACCAAGGGGTAACTAATACATTTATAAAAACAAGGTTTAGCATATATAGATATGCATTGCGTTATCAAACGTAAACTTGATGAGTGGGAGCAAGTTGCTCCAGCACATGAGTCCGCGACTTATAGTCGGTTTTCAGATTCAATAGCTCTAGTACGAGAGAATGCGACACCCAGTCACCGACTGCCCAGTGGCTGTTCACAGAAGATGAGATCTCACAGCTGTACTTTTCCGTCCCACGAGAAATAAGCTCTGTGGACGTAGTCATTTTCGTGTTCAGCATATTTATACTCTGATGACCGCGATAATTTTTTCACTTTTTTCTAATTCATCTGAGACCGCGGCTCACAACCGCTTCTGTCTTCCGAGCTCTACTCGAGTGCAATAGGGTTGCCGCACCTGCACTGACGATATAAATATTTGCTCAACTTTCCTTACAATAAATGTTTGATACACGTGTAATGTGAATTTTGTAAAACTTTACTCACAAATATGTAAGAATCAAGTACACAAGATTACAGTACATTCCTCGTTTCTTACATTTTCATATATGACATGTTCGAACCCTGGAACATCATTTGGATTGTCAAACATCGGCATCTTTTCATGCTCTAACTCACCACCATCAGATTAAAGTGTATTGCTTTGCCCCGTGTTGATATCTTTATGTGTTCCGGTCATGTTATCGTTGGATATGCTTTAATTTGGGAAGCACTACTCTCCATGCTGATTCAAGTAACTTTTCGCAAAATTGTACGTGAATGCGTAGAATATCACGTCAATTAACCGCCTAAACCGCTGCAAGATGTTTGACGTCTTGAAGAACTCAAATTTGGAGGAATTGAGATCTTGGGAAGCTCTTTAAATCATGTAAGGAATAGCGAGCGAAGGTTTTTGGCGAAGAGTGATGGCAACTGTAAAGCGGAGGGATGAAAAGGTAATCGATAAGAAGAAATTTGTACATCTAATAGCAGAAATTCCTGTAACGTATTTTTTTATTTTAGTGGCTTCAATACTTTTAGCACGACGAGCAACGCTTAAGATGCGTCTAATTCTTATGACGTTAAATATGATTACGTACGGTGGGCAGTTTCTTCTTCAAACAGGACGGAAGAGACTCACAGAAAAAAGCTGCGCATGACCTCTTGAGAGATGATTAGGACAAATGGATCGCTAACTATCCACCTGAACAGAAGTCCATGACTTCAAGACCTTACCTCGTGACACGAAATTTTCAAGCAGGATCTGTCAGGACAATACATCAAATAGAGTCGGGTTTTGCAAACACGATCATGCCCATGACGTCTCGTGAACCGCGTAATAGTCATTAGTTTCATATTCGACAGTGCAACGATATGAAAGCGAAAGTTACAATGTCAACGTTGCCGCCACTCCTCATCGCTCCTGAACACTCATTTCGCTGTATGTTCCAATTGTGCGTTTCTGTGCATTGCGTCAATTTGATGCTCCCTTCACTGACTAATTAAGGCTTTAGGATGTTAGCAATACAACCGAAAGACTGTTGACACGAGCAGTGCTATGACCATCCAAACCGTCAGGCCGTCAGCTGCTCAATGCTTGAACTTACACGTTTAGCCAATCTCGAAAGATGAAGGTCCTACCTATCCTTGATTTAATCATACATATAGGCGACATCTTCAGCAGCTGGGTGTCGTAGGTCCGATCAGTTTTAGCTTGTGTGGTTGTCTTATCCACTTAATTTAACTACATCTTTGTGATGTTTTCAAAAAAAGCCAGATTTTTGGGTTTAGCGAAAAAGCACCGTTGGACATAATCAACCATTTAGCAATTTTCTTTGGTGACGGTCAGACGATTATAAAAGTAATAATGCGCTTCTACTCTTTCTCACCCCTCTTCATGGTTATATTTAGCAGTGATGTGATTGTCGGTGTGGAATCGAATCAATTTGATGATTCTGGATCATTCAGCACTCCTTTAGTTGCTGGATCTACCAAATTCGCTGCCAACGAGAGCGCAACACATCCATCTCTGAATCGCCATGGTGGATATAACGCAAACTTAAGTGCCGACAACGTCAATGAAGAAAGATTTTCGCTCAAATTTTGGAAATTTAAAGCGGAAAAGAAGTCAAGAGTCCTCCACGATTTGTATCAGACTTTGTTAAAGGGTGGAGATGTAGACAACAATCTTCGTAAGTATGTCGTGCAGATCAAGATATCAAGAAAGATGGAGACGATGGATGGAAAAAGTGGATTGAACGAGTTTTACGATGATGCTGTTGCAGTTCTGACCGAAATAATCCCAAGACAAAAGCTGTTTTCCAAACTCCAAAAATGGCAATCCATGCATGATGATTTGAGCCATGAAGCAGACGAGTTTATTGCGAGCATGCTTCGTAAACCCGCTGATAGCCGAAATGCGGTTTCGGAGCCGTGGCCACGTCCAGATTCTACGCCTCGAGGTCTTTACAAAGAGTTGAATATCAATCTTGGAAAATATGATCGCACTATATTTGTGGCGTGGCTCCAGTACTTTGGTTTGGAGTATCAACGCTTTCAAGATGCATCAAACAATGTTGCCGCGAAGAAGGTCCTCTATGATGTTTATGACCACCTTGCACAATCGATGGGAGGGACCGATACAAAGTTTTGGATAAATGAATTAGGTTCGAACCTGGCGTCGTTTAAAAAAGCGATGGAGGACCTCATGAAGCAGAAGAACGATCTCAGGAGTCTTGCAAAGAAAAATGTTAGCATCAAGGATGCTTTTACCATTTTGAAGGCGGAAAAAAACGAAGAGAATTTGCTTCGATGGCTCGAATACTGCCAACTCATCGCCACTCGGAAGAAAAAAAATATTGTAAGTACTGTGTCTGGTGAGGACCCAGAAATCGACAAGATTTATCTCGATGTTATCAAAACGATAGAAGACGCGAAGCTGCCTGGAGATAGGGAAGCAACTATCAACAGACTGTACGACACGCCAGGCCTGGGGGACCTTCCGAAGAACATGCAGAAGATATTCAGGGAACGGGAACAAATTGAAGAAGTGATTCCACGATAACTGAAGGTAAAGTTTGGTTAGGTTACAAAAGTTGATTTACATTCAACTGATGTGATTTGTCAGGCTAATTAACCAAAATGGTACAATTAGCACTTGAAATGCCGCTCGATGTCTTAAAGTAAGATTCCGCCTACAGCGTCCAGAAATTCGATGAAATGACTTTTGTCAATCAGTATATAGTGCAGATTAAATCACCTTTGTGCTACTGATAATCGTGTTTTCAAGGTAGCAACAGAAGCACCGTAATCATCGATTGCTGAGAAGAAAGATATCATGAACAATCTTAACGGTCAATCAGAGAATGTAGATGTGCGTGTCGTGTAGATATCGTTAGATTAGAACGTCGAATCGAGTAGCATCCTACAAAACGCATGAAGTCTTACAAACGCCGATACACCTCCTGCTATCGTAATTGTGTCCCGTCATTTTTTGAAGCTTCGACTGCATGACTTACGTCATCTACGTCGATTTTTGAGCCCTCTTCTCGTGTTCTAGTTCCAATTATTGCGTCACTTTCCGTCTCAAATTTCATTTCGCAAATCTCATCTGTTCATTGGCAGCAAGGTTAATAGCACCGTGCTCCTATCCTAAAAATTCGATACCTTGCCCATTCGATTCATTCAGTTTCTGCATGTCCTTTGAATCATTGATAGTGGGGTAAAATATGATACGAGTGTAGACTAGCAGTTTAAAATGTACAAGTGCTAGAAATGTTGATTTCTTTAAAGTCTTCATGCCAATCATAGAGCTTGTATTTCCATGTTCAAAACGATCGTTCTTTTGACTTGGTGTATGTTCTCCACTATTGTGTACACACGAACACCTTACACTTGTGCGAACATTCATCTTGTACGTGTCACTTACATTTTTGTGTAACTATCACGTAAAGTAATGAAAATTGGTTGTTCTTGAGTTGCTTCGTTCCAAGAGCTTTGCTACAACTGGGTCACCGTTGGCATATAATTGACAACGAATAAGTCTCGGGCCAAATTTTTTATGATGAATTGGTCGCGGATGTGGACGCATCTGGTCCTGGCTTTATCCTGCGTTACCTGCAAGCCAAATAGTACCCTGATTATCTTTTCAAATCATAGCAGCCCAACTTGTTTGTAACCGAGGTCCTTCAGCATTGTGCGTATTCACAGCAAATCTCATGGACAAAGGCTTAGCGCCATATACACCGCCTTCGTCGAACTGAGCGCAACCATACACTGATCTTTGATTGAAAATCACTGGTGCACATACGATCGTCACCATCGTTTCGGACACTGAGTGACTGTCATCAATGTTGCCCTCGATCCAAGTCTGTGTATGCTGTGATCTGCACTCTGCCGGCGCTGCCGTCGTAGGTGACCCTTAGTCCCTAGTTGTCTAGAGGTAACGAGAGCACGAATCGCGGAGTTTCAAAGCTGCTGACCTGAATTTTTCAAACCGAGACAGCTGCATTAGCACTACGCGAAATTAGGACGTGTACATATCGCAAGATACAGCAAACACCATATTATCGTCTGTACGGCTTTGACTGCATCTCTTTCTTGTCGTCATTTCTTGTTGGTGCCTCCTGGATGAATTTAAACCCGATTTGAATGAATTAGGTATAACCTTGCGATCATCTTAGTCGGATGCGTTCACGTCGTCGATGTATCGATCGCCTGATCATAAGCGTGCTGTCGTTGTCGTTGTGATCGATCCTCATTCCAAAAACAAATTTAACCATTACATCTTGTAAATGGTCCTGAGTATCGCTTCTATTTCCTTGTTCTCTCTGATCGTCTCAGCAGCCATGATCATGTCGGCGACGTGTCGGTATATGTATGTAATCATAGTTACCGTTCTTTACCTTGACGTAGAAGCAATGATCCATCCGCTGCTTTAAGCTGTTTGCACAAGAGCACAGCATGGATGATCTTGCCCCATGAACATGCAACCTGCTTCTAACGATAGATCGCCTTGCTCAGCTTGCAAATCATACCGTCAATATACCGTGCAGCTCCATGAACATTGGCTCCATAATATTGCTGTTTAAGAATGCTGTGTTTATATCAATTATATTATATATGACCTCATTACAGGGTTTGTATAGACAGGTTTGAGCTTAGAGTGCTGCGGACCTTGCGCATATAAGTTTTTACTTAGACAGTCTACGTTCGCAAGCGTATCTATATTCATGGGTAGGACTGAGAGTCTCGTTCCTTTGCTCCGTTGTTTTAGGAATAGTTTAAACTCAGAATTGTTTAGACTGATAGTAAACAGTAATGTTTCATCATATTACATGATTTAAGTAGTTTTTATCACTCAACACGCACTGCATACCTTTTCTTCACAAAGTCCAATCATCCTCACAACTATAATTTTTTATAGGCATACGCAACTACACATATGTAATAGTCTTCTGCACAATTGTAAAAAAGTGGTCAGTACAGGTACAAAATATTATAGTTCTTACAACGTTGCACCATCTCCCACAACGATGTGAGCCACAATATGTCCTAGTTTTCATTTGTCTTTCTAGGGTGATGCGATTAAATGAACGCTCATAGAGTGACTACGACGTTGAAAGAGACATTTTTCTCTCTATCCTCAAAGCATACGTGCATCAGGATGTCTGCTGTGAATACATCATATGGCCTAGCAAGCATCAGAGAATGCGTAGTCCTCGCAACCGAAGCTCTTGTAGCATTTTCTTAATACACCGATGGGTTCTTCGGTGAGAGCGGTACACAACTTCCCTCACCTGAAAATATGCGACCAAGCCTGCCAACGAGGACAGGAGCTCATCCTTCTCTACTAGTCTTAACAACTTCGTATTATTTTATTACGGCGGGTAACTCCGCGGTGGAGCCCTCTGTGATGGCAAACACCTCTTTAAAAAGTTGTAGCAATCTCAAATTGCAGTGGCTATTCTACAAGCGCAAGAGTTGTGCAAAGTCGTGCTTAAATTATATTTCAAAATTATTTAATGTAGTTTGATGCGCTGGGGTGGCGCTCTTATACGCCCATTCGTGCCGGTATTCTGCTCTTACCAACGTTAAGACCAAAGGCCGCTTTGCGACCGTTTCCCAAGCCATCTATTCATAGGAATTCTGTTTGCAATTAGAGCATCAGCGACTTAAATTCTCGTAAATTTAATAAAGTCTGGGTATATAACTCTCCATGAGTATTTTAAGGCACTGGGTAAAGAAAAAACGCCATTTAGCCTGTCTCAAGGCTATGCAATCAACCTCGGTGATGTGGTTTTGCGATAGAACTTTTTTATTGCTTGGCTTCGTGTAGTATAAAGTGAGACGGAGACATCAAGATGAAAGCCCAAATTTATTGTTAAAAGTTACGCTAGCCTCGTCATACGGCTGTTATCGCTAACGGCAAGTGTCAAACTGGCGAAAAGGTTGGTCCCCACTCACTAGTTGAAAGTTTGCTGCGACGGGCAAACCTTGCGGACACCATGTCCGATTCCCGACCTCTTGACATCCGGGGGGTCATTATTGATCACCTCGGCGAGGAACAGGAGCTACAAAAGTGCTACGCGCTATGCGCGCACATCCACGGTCGGTCATAGACCCTCGAGTGGAATACGGCTTCCGCTCGGCGGATCTTGCTACTGAAGCGGAGGGCGCAATCCTTCAATCGTTGGGCGTTTGCATAGTCGGACCCCGGCCACTACACAAGCCGATCTTGACCGACGAAAGCTCTTCGAGCTCGCTTCTTGGTACCTCAAAGATCCCTATGGAATCGCACCGCGTTCGGCTTTGCGCTCAAAAAGAAGGCACTTCTATACCCGCAATGCAGATGATTCTTTTGGTGCTCGCCCCTGGTGATGCTGCTGCGGACGATGCAATAGGAGCAGCGGCACCGAAAATGTTCCTTGCTGAATAACTTACAGGTAACCACAAGGAGGTGGTCGTAGGAGCAGTGGCACCGAAGAAGTTCCTTGTTTAATAACTTACAGGAAGCCACAAGGAGGTGGTCGTGCGTGTAAAACGCATCATCGGTTCGAGTTTGCAAAACTGAATGACCAACTCCGACTTCCTTTGTACTGTCGCCCTGAAACGTATGGATTAATCCAACACGCTCCCGCGGTCTCTCACACGGGTAAGTCTGCGACCACAGCAGCTCAGAGCCATAGATCGAGCTCAACTCATAGCCCTTCAGCTTCCCGGTCTACCTAAACATAATCGTCCACGACGTCTGGACAGTCTTGCCAAAGTCGGGTCAGCAGCTAAGACTACAAGGAACTTCGGGATAAGTCACGACGGCAGCGCTAGTGGAGTGCAAATCACAGTGTACTGTAGTTCCTCGGTCACGAACAAGTGGAAGCTGCAGTGGTCTGGGAGAATAATTGGGGTGCCGTTATACCTGCAATCAACGCTCGATAAAAGCCAGGACCAAACACGTCAACATCCCCCCCACTAATTAGAGAGAATGTGGGCTGGGATATCACCATTGCCAAGCACATGTCAACGGTGGACCAGCTTGCAGACATGCTTTCCTTGGCAGTGAACGAAGCAATTCAGGTACCTGTTAAAAACAAGTAAATGGTGCCGGACCCAAGCACACACATGATAAGAGGTGAGTGGTAGTGTTGGGAATGCACCACTGCATACATGTTGGACAGGCGGATGACGTTACATGAGTGCGGCTACGTTTCTATTTGGAATTTACGGTCAAATAACATTAAGGTTTTGTAGAGATAATCTCTGATAGGCTACTTTAACTCAAGATCAAGTAAGGTAAACATAGGATATAACCTAAGTGGTCTAGAAAATGGCCGATGTTTTGCGAACGAAAACACAAAATATGCTTATCATTCACGTCACATTTGGCGTTCTATACGCGCAACTCAACAACCTGCGTACGTCGAGGTCGCAGCAGCAAATATTTTGAAGTCACTTCAGCTCGTTATATATGGTAATCCTTTTGAATATAATAGCTTTATTTGTAAAATGCGTACGCTTGTAATTAGGCTTTGCAAAGTCTGTCATCGATTATTTAAACGTCTTTAATCAAAATTCTTACTTGTTTATACATGCGTCGGAGTGCTGAAGTATCTATTGATAGCATAAGAAAGTATCATGCAGAAAGTCTTGATTGTCTTTGCTTTCTCGATGTCCCCACACTTTACTCGAGTACAGAAACCATGCATCCCTAGATTAAAATCTGTTTTGAATTTGGTATGAACATTGCAAAACAAGGACTCTGGATATGACCAAGGGGTTCATTTAAATGTGACTGTATGCGGAACTACGCAGAATGTTCTCGAATATTTGATCTGCTGCGTCTTTAGTGCGCCTGGAGTGGATTAGCATTATCAGCTTATAGTGAGCTTCATAAACTTTGCAATAGCTCGATCATCTCGCTTGCCAAAGGCATCCATATAGATTTCCACCTATCGTAGGGCAGCGATATGCTTGATGTACGCGCGAATACCCAACACTCCTCGTTCACTCATGAAGCCGGCTATTTTTAATTTAGTCGTGGCGATGTGTTTGATTTCTTTGTGAATTGCAGCAACTCAAGCATTTTCTTCGTCGCTGACGTTGTCGACACATGTGATTGTATTCACCAAAGACATTTCATGATGGACGGGTCGTGCTCTATCGACAGCAACTTCCGTAGATCTAGCAACTCGGTCAGTGTCAAACGAACCAGGCTTTTGATTCAATTCGCTTCTTCGCTGAAAGCAAAGTGAGCGCAGGGAAGAGAACGTCAAGACATGCTTGCGATCAAATAAGAATCGTCAACTGATTGTGTTCTTTTTTGCTGGACTTTTATTACATTTTTCATTCTGTTTTTACACTGGAGCTCACTTGATATTTTAACATCACACATGTAGAGAAGCCCTCAAAGTAGTTTTTTTCGAATACTCGAATTAAGTCAACCGTCTATATAAAAATTCAATACGACTTCTTGTAATTTTGTATCCTGTTGAATGCGAGTCGGCACGTTTGACACATGAAATACAATGGACACAACCCCAGCTACGTGATCACGGTTACCTCCAAAAGATCCCCAAAAAGACATTGACGCGTAAGGTACGTTCCCAGGCGTTTTGTCAGCTGCCAATATGTTCTAGCTCGTACCAAGTCTCTAAGTTAGTGGTTCTCTTTTACGTTTAGCTTATTGACACACTAGATAAAGATAGGAATAGCTTTAAAAGGTGACAAAGATAGCGCATTTTTGGACAACAGTAATGTAATCACTATCGCAGAGAGGAAGCTGAGACGATGGCAAAATCAAAGTGAATCCATTAGAATTTGTCTTTACTTGCTACTCTGTGCTCCATTTAAACCTACTGAATGCAACCTGATTTATCTAGACCGATGAGCGACTATGTAATCAAAATTCGTAACGATGACAGCAACTATGACCGTTACGTTTCCGTAACCCTTCTGACTTCATCCACACGTATTCAGCGGGATGATTCTAACACTCGTACTCACCTAATATTGAGTTTGTTTTATCGCTGACTAGTCTTAGTACCCGTTGCCCCGCGCAGAAACTTGAATATCTTGGTTCCAAGAGCCTACATCTGCATATCTGCACGTCGATTCTTCATATCGATGTCGTCGATCTTTGGTTATTTATGCTGGAGCTCTCGCGAATGAAGTGGTGCATGATATCCGCATGCTTCGTATAAGTGTGGTAGCCTGTGTTGCTCGCCAAAGTTATCGCCCCTATATTTTCTTTCTTATTGGTTTGCCTCACATTTGTTTGTGATTCATGCCCTTGAGCATTGCGCGCGTTTAAAGTACTTCTTGTGTGCATGATCTGAGAGTCCTTTACTTGGCGTCTGCGGTGGTCAGCGCGACGGTGGTCTTGTACTTGGACGTCAACACAACCGGATCATTACCTATATTGATCAAAGAATTGACCCAGAGCGCCTGTCATTAGTAGTGCATCTAAAAAGCTTCGACCACCACTTTCTCACTTTCACCTTAGCTGATGATCCTGTGATGACGAGCTGACTTGAATAACGTATATTCAACAAATTACGGCGTTTCAGTGCTATGACCCGGAATTCTCAAAAGAACGAGACTGTTGCGCGACGACGTATGCAATGTCTGGGTGAGTCCCCGTTCTAATATACAACAGACAGCCATATATAGAGCGGTCTAGCTCGAGCGCATCTCCGGCTGCCCAACTTCTGTACTTGGTGATTATGATGTCGCCACTCAGAGACCGGTCGCCTGCGGATTGTCGCTGTCCTCGGCGCTCTACTACGTCGTAGATATTGCTTGTCTGTTTGGTTACCGTGGTTGCCGCTGTCGATCTCCATGTGAAGATGTTTTTGTCATTCCAAGATCCTTCATTCTTCAAGCTCTTTTTAGCGTCCCCTTGATATCTAGTATATTGCTACTCATATTGGCTGCATTAGTCATATCATAGACATCCAGGGATTTGAACACAAAATCCAACGTTGACGCATTGATCCGCTATGAGATCGTTCTTTTTCAAGACATGGTCGGTCATCTTGCTCCGCGCACTTGCAGCTTGCTTGAGTTCATATATGGCCTTGTCCAGCTGCCACACAAAGCCTCGAGCTCATTTTTAGCGGAATCACCATGTAAACACGATCCGACAGTACAGGCGGTGTCAACGTCCAGCTGTTCCATTTCGAGATCAGATACCGCACATACAGTTCATGTTCGCGACCGAGGAGTATGTCTCGAAAAAATCCACACCGTACTTCTGCTTGAAGCCTTTTGTCACCAATCGTGCCTTGTAACAAACCACACTGCCATTCTGGACACCTTTATTATAACAGTTCCAGCGGCATCAAATCTTAAGACCAAAACATTTGCATAGAACGAGTTCTTGTGTCATGTTCTGCTATTGTGCAGCGTCCATCGCATCGCGGCACTGTTTTGCTTCGTCACTAACCATTGCTTAAGCGTTTGTGGCAGTCAAGTCTGATTTTCACCAATACTTACAGCGTAAGCCAGAACAGCTTCAACTATGAAGACGTCCTTGCCTATCCCTGCACACTTTGGGGATGGTGGGCCGTCACTCCCTTCCAACTTTTTCTGTCATCTGATCCATTATTCAGCATTAACATCGGTTCGCGCAAACGCCCTGGGTTCGGAAATTGAGATTGGAACCAATTGGTTCCTCTGCAGCGTTCCAGCACAAGCTCGGTATACCAATCGTTTTTATAATACATCTTGTGCTGGAGCTCTGGACTCTGTCAGCTCGAGGCGCACGGAGAGCGGTAATTGGAGGGAGCACATCGACCATACGATTTCTAATGTCGAGCCACATCTCCTCCATCTAAACATCGGATGGAGGAGAAGGGACTCGAAATTATCTTGCTGGCGTTTTGTCAGCGCTGGTACTGCGCTTTAATCGTCGTTTCTAGTCACATGTATCACAGCTTCTTCTTTTGAAAAGTGTGATTCGTAAATGCCGCCCGACCTCACGATCGTGTAACTTCACTGACCGTGTTAGTTGTTATCTAGATCGTATACATGATATTCCTTGGTGTCTTCAGGATACCCAAGAAGCTTGTAGATGAAGCTCTAAGCTTCGAGCTTTGTCCTTATCATATGATCAACGTGTGCATACCCGTAAATCCCAAATACCCGAAGGTGATCCATCCGATGATGTACCTTAAATCCAGTTCACTCAGGGTGGCGTTCTGATGCGCTTTGTAAGGTTCAAGTACACTGCAGTGCTGGACGCTAGTGCCGACCAACAGATCGGCGCCAACTTGTAGTGTTGCATTCTCCGTGCCTTTTCCAGAATCGTGCGGCTCATTTACTCTGCCGCTTCATTCTGTGGGGGGCCTTATGATATCCAACGGTGCGATGCAGTTCCGCTGGCATAAGTCCGTAACTATCTTGTTTACGAATTACTTTCTGACGTCCGAGTGCAAGCATGTTATGCGGACTTCCCATTAAATTTTGAGCAGTGCATTGAGGATATAGATCATTGCAAGAACTCACTCTTTCTACGCCTGAAAGTACACCGCCACATAGCGTGAGAAATTCCGCAAATGCTAAAATATACTTGCCTCCATTTCGAAAGCTATTTCATGGATATCATCACTTCTGTATGCACTAGCTTAATACGCGTGGCGTCTTTAATACAAAGCGTCCTGGGAATTCTTTAATCGTCTGCTTGTCCTTCATGCTGCCACTAGACAACGACTTCATGGCAGTTTTCAGTGCAAGCATACCGTTTGTGAGATGCAAATTCGTCATTGTAGCATCCTCGCTTGGTTGTCTCATGCGAGCGTGCCATAGCTTCTACTGGCTATCAGCTTCCGATCATTGCACCGATCTTGCTAACGGGTCTGTGTGTAACTTTACCGTTCCTTGTCCCAGTTGCCAGAGCACAGCCCTCGTCCCAAATGACACACTAAGCACTTTGAAATTCCACACATAGCTCAAGTTTGGCAGGCATTTAACCCTAAAGAAAACGTCTGTCAAGACCGATGATTAGCAGCGCAATTATCATGGATATATGTCTTTCGTCTAAGTTAACAAGCTTCACTGTTCCAGTCCCTTCAACACTAAGTTCACTGTATACTGCGTACGTTACCTTGATGCTGGCTTTTGGATACTTACAGTCGACCAAGTCACTCTAGTAGGACGTCATGAACGCCGCCGCGCTGCTGTCAATTAGACAACCGATTGATCGCTCCTCACCCAAAGCAAATACTTCGTCGCCACCTCTGGAACAGTTTCGAAAACGAACTTTAGCCAGTCTGGTCCGTTTCATGAGATCCATATAGTCACACTTAAAGCACGTTTCGTTACATTGCCGTGATTCGCGGCGCGTAGCTCGTGCGACCTCCCTCTCTCCCGTCATTCTCCGTTGTTATTCAGCAGCGCGAAACGCTTTTCCAGTGGTGTTCCTTCTCTTGCAACTTCTTTAAAAACTTCACCAGCTTTTCATCGACTTCAATAGGCAGAATGTTTTGGCAATTTCCACAAAACAGCTCATACTCCGACGGCAGGCTGCTCAGAATTATCACCAGCTGTCTCGACTTATCCGCTGGCTCTCCCATTGTTTGGAGTCCCACGTAAAAAGCATCTAATGTTCCGCCATGCGAGTGCCACTCTTCATCTTAAACGCATGAGGTGATGTGTCATCGCAACACGGCTGTGTAGAGAGAAGCGATTGTTGAAACCACGCCTCCAAGGCGCGAGTAAAAGACCGAATTTTGTTCTGGTGTAAAATTTCACGCCCAGGGCAATGATGCCCAATGCCTTGGCGTTCTTCTCAAGCCATGTCTCCATCATCTTGCTATTATCCTTGCAGCCATGACGAGCCCCTGCAGCCTAGTCTTGCGAAAAGGTAAACTCCAAGGGGGACTTCGGTGCATTCGGTAGTCATGGCGGTGAAGATATCGTGAAGTGAGGCTTGGTAACGGTTGTTAATCCTATGAGAAGATAGCAAAAACAGAATGGTATATAAGGTCCTTAGCTCGCTACTCTGTAAGCCTACTGACTGTGACTTGACTATTTTAGACCAATGAACGATTACCATTACGTCTGTAATCAAAATATATAATCATGAGGGTAATTCCGTAATTTTTGTGATGTCATCCACACGCATTCAACGGTGTAATCTCAAAAGTGATTATCGTTGCTGGCTTTGAGTATATGGACAATGTTGAAATTTGCCATATTCAAGGTCCATTTGCGTTCGGATTTTCAGGAGGTCAAGAGCTGGTTAATTTGACTCAGATTTGAAACATCACGTTAAAAAATGTCGTCACGACTTTTTTTCTTTAAATATTTGGAAGGCAGTTCAATATTGGGGACACCTAAAGAATTCAA